TATATATATATATGTGAGATAATGCATCAGAAATAAATTTCTAAAATACCTGGCAATAACTGACAATATTCTTTTTGAATATCAGGTTACAATAGATGTCACAATTTAGATGGGATCAATTATTGTACAAAGAATTCATTGTTTTTTTATGATAATATGTAATTTCAAAATTAACAAAATTGCAAATTGGACTGAAAATTTAGAAACAAAAATTCCACTGAAAATCAACATATTTTGAAGAAAATATATTTTTAATAAAAAGACTATATAATCTTTTTTAAATTTTATTACTTTTTACAAGGTTTCATACATAAATTATACACAAAAAATTGTTACAATTGTTCATACACTAATGTCTATTCAATAATTAAATACAGTATAACCCGGATATAAGGGAGTTGTCGGGACCGGAGAAGAAGTCTCTTATATCCGGGTTTGGTCTAATTTATATACATTAACACAGGCTCTAATTTAAATCAGAAAATCTCTCTTATATCCAGGTTTCTTTTATATCCGGGTCTCTTATATCCGGGTTACACTGTATTTAGTTTTATTAATTTTTACAAGATATCATCCACAAAAAAATTGTTACAACTGCCCTTACACTAATACCTATTTAATATTACAAATAAATTTAAAAAAACCTCCATGATTGGTTAAAGTTTTAAATGATGAAGCTTAACAATAAAGACATTCAAATATTTTTAAACAGGGAGTTTTAAATTTTACGAAATAAATTAATTGTTTTTAAGATTAAATCTGGCAAATCATAACAAGTCCATTAATAAATTTTATCTTTCTTTTCGTGTGTGTTTTTATGCTTAACTAACTATAACTTTTGACTTAAATATATTCTTTCATGAAGACTAATAAGATTTGTTTTTAAGTTTCACATAATGTGATTTGTTATTTAATATATATATATATATATATATATATATATATATATAGTTTTAAGGTATGCTATATTTATAGGAAAAAGTGCTCAATATCAGAGATAAAGCATATGTAAATATAAAAGTGTACACTGAGGTCAAGACCTAGTGGCAATAGTCTGTTTTATGCTTGAATGCAATCTTCAGGCCATGAGGAATGCATTTAAGCATGAAACAGACTGTCGCCACTCGGTGTTGACCACTGTCTACTTTTATATTTTTATATATATATATATATATATATATTATTAAAAAGAAAGAGTGTCCACATATTTTTGTTATATTTTATATCTCAAATTTCTTTCACTGGCCTATTACATACACACTTTTTTATATATATATATACATATATATATATATATATATATTAAGTATATAGTAATGGTTTTTTTTTTATGATTCCATCACAACAAAAATATAATTATAATTTAAGCTCTTCTTCTGTAACAGGCACTGTTTTTTAAAAATAAAAACACAAATACTGAAGAGTTTTGGGTCATTAATTTAACTGTTCTTTCCAATTACATTTATATATATATATATATATATATATGATTATACTGTATTTTATGTGTATAAGGCCATTTGGTTAGAATGTTTGCTTTCTGATTATAAGACATGTGTTCAAATTTTACCATTGTTGTTTTGTCATAAAGGCGACATCTTGATAATTTCAGTCTGAGGAGGTAATCCCAGTGTATGGTGTGTTTGGAATGTTCCTGAAAATCATATTGAAGCCTTAAGAGTGAAATTGGGTAAACCAAACCATTTGGAAGCCATTGATGGTTTTGCTAGCACAAAGTCACAATTCATCATAAACAAGAATTTGAGCATGCTGGCCTTTTAAAAAAAAAAATAATCATGCCAGATTAGACATTCTCTCTCAGAAAGTGTAACTAAAGTCTGCTCAACTTAGTTGTAGTAGAAAATCACAGGTGAAGTATGTGTGTTGAGCAGGTGTCTGGAATAAGGATTTGCCAGTCACACTGGCAGATGGGTTTGCTCAGAAATGGGTAGTTGTCAACAGTTGAGTATTATACATACATATATATATATATATATTTGGTTGGATAGATGTGATTTTGTGACCCTGGGTTTCATGCTTTAGCATTTGTCTGACGATCGCTAAGCGTGGAAACCCAGGGTGTAAGCTCACATCTATTCAACAAATATATTAGCTCTATCTCTGATATTGAGTGCTTTCTAATAAATTACATATAATATATAAATAATTATACATATATATTTATTTATATTTATATACACTTTTCACATATATACATATATATATATATATATATATATATATATATAAATATATGGAGCCACTCACTATTTGGGGATAGCCGTCTACTAGGACGGCTAGCCAATTCTTGTGCAGATGCTTGCTCAAGCACATTTACATTTGCTCAACACCCTCAGCCTACGGTTTATACTGTAACTATGCTGAGCAGACCTTGGTTACAGTTTCACAGGGAGAAAGAACATGTTATCTAACAAGCCAGCACATAAACCCTTGGTCACAATGACTTCTGGTTTTTGTGCTAGCTTTGCTACTCGGACAGCCCTCAAGAGTTACATCTACACAAATTCACTCACAAGGCTTGCGTCAACCTGTGGTATGGTTTTCAGGCACTTTCCAAAAGTGCTGCATGTTGGGATCGACCTTGATCCATTTCCTTCCTGACAAATCGACTATTTCAGCCTGGGTCTCATGGTCAGAAGATGAACATTGTAACCACTAAGCCACATGCCCATTTATATATTTATGTATAAACATAAAAATGTCTTAAAATAATTGTCAGACTTTGTCCATTTCATAATGTGTGTCATCATTTGTTTACATTTGGATACACATTGAGCAGATATGAATGTACATGAGAGAATCATGGAAGATTGTAGTTTAAAAACAGTAAAATTGACCTTGCTAACCGAACGCTCCTCTGCGTCGAAATCGGTAACAGCATGTCAGGCTATATGATGGTTCCGTATAGGATACATGTTCGATTCCTGTCAGAGGACGCATTATTTTCTATGACAATTTCTTGGATATTCAGGTCGGTAAATGTTGTTAATGCTATTTATTATCAACAGAGCATTTAAATATCTGTATCTATCAAAAAAGAATATATATATATATATATATATATAGAGAGAGAGACTATATTATTTAGCCATCTAAGGAAATTTTAAATCAGAAAATTAATTTTGTAAACTAAAAAGCAAAACAATGATTGAAAAATATAATAATATGCCAGCAAAATAAAACAAAATGATTTTGAAGAAAAAATATTTCATGTCATTTTTGACTTCTTATTCAAACCTATTAAGATTTTGTGAAATACATTTTTTTGATGCTTTGACATGCATCATGAGTGATGTTTTTAGCTGAGAATCATTAGGGGTCTCGGGTCTTTCGACATGATACCCCCTCTCCATGTTGACCAAACTGGTACTGATTGGATATCGATTTGCTTGCCCACTGTCAGATACAACTGTTCTCATAAAATACCTAACAGAATGAGACTAAACAGTCATTTAATTACAAAACAAAAACTCTTGAAAATGGAAAAAAATTTTAAACCCAGAATATATTAATTAAAATATATTAATTAAATATATTAATTAAAACTATTACAAAATATATTTCAAAACAATTTGATTATCTGATAATGTGGATTTTAATTAAACAATTTGTTTAAAAAAATAGATCATTAAAATGAATAATTATTTTCAAAGCAACTTGGTATCATATATTAAAAAAAAACATTATTTGCAGTGTACATAATAAGAAAATATATAAAAAAATATATACATAATAATGTTAAAAAATATACCTAATATTAAAAAAATATATAAATAATAAAAAAATATATATCAAACATATAAATAATAAAAAATATATAGAATATACGTACATAATAAAAAAAGATGTTAAATAATTTACTGAGAAAATTTGTGATGGTAGATTTTTTAAAAAATGAAAGCAATTATCATTATATTAGAATTTTAAAAATTGATCAAAATATAAAGTAAGAAAATTTAATTAAAAATAATAAAAAATTAGATAAAAAATTAACTGATTAGATAATTAAATTAAGAAGTAATTAAAAATTAATCAAACTATAAAATAATTTAAAATTTTTTTTCAAAACATAAAAAATTTCAATTATTTTTTTATTGTAAAGAGGGATAAAATTAATGTATCATTCCAAAAACTCTATTCCTTAGGGATCAATATGCAAACACATTTCTTTATTCCAGTGAATAGTGATACATGCAAACTCATATATGTTACTTATTCATCTATGAATCAATTTAAGTAACCAACAATATATCAGCATATCAAAGTGTCGATAAATCAATCATATATGAAAAGGTAAGTCATATTTATATCTATATCAAATATGAATGCATATAAGAAATTCACATTTTGATGAAAACCTATTATATACATATATAATCTATTCATATCCCCCGCCCATCTGACTGTCTTGTCAAAGAAATTTTGTAAATCTCTCGACTGTACATATTTGGAATTTTGGCAATTGTGTAAACCAAAACAAGTTACAAATTGCAAAATTCTCTGGGTCCAGATGTTTTGCACAGGAGATAAATATAACCGACTTCTATGTCGGTAAACATGGCTCAGGCAAATTTTGAAGAAAGGAGAGAAAAAAATAGAAAGAATGAAAAAGAATGAAAACTATAAAGAGAAACAAATTACTTGGAAATCATATAGGAAAATGATGAAAGGAAGAGAGAAAAAAAAAATTAAAAAAATGTTAAGAGATAAAAAGAGGATATTAAGAAAAAGAAGGAAAAAGAAAAATTGTGAAGAATATGAATGAGAAAAAGAAAATCAAAAGAAAATGAGGGATAAAAAAAATAAAAGACAGTATAAAAAAAGAAGTTGAATGAAAACAAAGAATGAATGAAGAAGTATTGGAGGAAAGAGAGTTTAGAAGAAGAAAATTAGAGATAAAATAAAAAAAGAATGAAAAGTATAAAGAGAAATTATTAGGAAAGCATATAGGAAAATGATAAAAAAATGAAGAAAAAGAA